CCCGGTTTTCTCGTCCATGGGCTGGAAAAGCCTGTTTCTGTTTAATGCCAGTCTCTGGGCTCTGCTCCTGCCGTCTCTCATGCTGGTCTCTGGGCTCTGCTCCTGCTGTCCCTCATGCTGGTCTCTTGACTCTGCTCCTGCCGTCTCTTATGCCATATGTCGGGATCTCTCTGCCAGGGTCTCGGGTCAAGGACGCACTCTATACGTTTCCACATTTTAGGTATCTGTCAGAGCAACACCCCACTCTCTCGGTACCAAATTCTGTTCTGGTCACCTAGTGCCGCTCTGACAAGAATGTACCACTAATGGGATGACTTGAACAAACAGGAGTTTATTCTCTTACAGTTTGGAGGCTCTAAGTCCAAGTTCAAAATGCCAGGCTCTAGGGACTGGGTGAAAGCCCCTCGACCTTGCGCTTCAGCTCTGCCTCTTGCTCCTGGCCCACTGAAGCTACAGGCATTTCTTCACTCAGGCAGCAACTGGCTGCTAAGGCTAACAAGCCCAAGGTCAACAAATAAAATGGCACAGTCCCGATTTACCAAACCACACGGCAGGTCATTAATTCAAGTCCATTTTAAGTCCCAAGGTCTACAGAGCACGGCAGGGTGCTGAACAACGACACGGTTACACACAGGGTACAAGCGTACCATAAGCTAGAGACTGTTCCCCAAGGTTTCTACTTATATACAGGAAGCAGACCACATTCCCTAAGACAGCTACTCAGCTGCTCACAGTTGATTCCACCATGGAGTTGATTACCAGTCTCAGCATGGGGAATACTACATCCAGCTGCCCAGCCACTCAGCCAGGCCCAGCCAAGTTTACACACAAACTGAACTCCCACACCATACATAGACCAAAGGGAAGGGACGGATAGTAAGATCCTTTAACATCAAGCAACATGCCACCAGGTCCCCACTGGATACTACACCACTACGTACCCATAGCATATCAGACAAGCCTGGAGGAACCTTATTATGCAGCATGGAGGCCGCGCTCATGGAGAGGAGTGAAAACAGTACCAAGTGCTAAGCCCATGAATTTCATAAAGGAACTAAATGAAAGCCACCTTCTTGTAATGGCATCTTCTAAGCCAACCGTGCTTCACAGTGGTCACCTTGGAGGGGTGAGGTGGGACTGAGGCATTTTTCCTCTACACGTTCTAGTTTCCTGTGCTGCTCGAGTTTCTAGCCATGGACATGTGTCAATCTTTTTATTGAAAAATGCTGGGGAAAATGACAACAAATAGAACAATCCAGTTATTTCAAGCCCAACCCCAATGTATGCTATTCATCCGTTAAAAAAAAAAAAAAAAAAAGACTATGCACAAGTGAAAACTGTCAAATTGGCAAATACTGTGTTACCTATATCTTTATGACAATTAAAGAAACAAAACAAAACACTACAGATCTGAGGAAATTTATTATATGCTAAGTAAGACCATGGGAGCTCTGGTAGCATAGTGTCTAAGGCAGTTGACTGCTAACCAGAAGGCTGGCGGTTCAAACCCACCAGCCACTCCTCGGAAGGAAGATGGGGCAATCTACTTCCATAGTGATACTGCCTCAGAAACCCAAGGAGGGGTCGCTATGAGTCGGGTGCGACTCAACGGCACATAACAACAACAACAACACAATAAGGCCATAGTACGTACCTGTGGAACAATTAAAATACTCATCTTTATTTACATATCTAATAAAAGAAAAAGTGTTTTGTGTTCAGTTGGTTGTTTTTCACCAAAAGTGAGTTATATTTCTATCTAAAACCAAGACCTAACTCACAGCTATCAAGTCAATAGTGACTCATAGTAACCCTTTAGGACAGAGTAGAACTGCCTCATAGGATTTCCAAGGCTATAAATCTTTACTGAAGCCCAGTGCCTCATCTTTGGAGTGGCTGGTGGGTTTGAACCACTGACCTTTTGGTTGGCAGCTCAATGCTTTAACCACTGCATCACCAGACCTCCTTATATTTCTCTACAGATCAAGAAAAGAAACATGGCCTTTTTAACACTCATCTTTGCAACCCACTCTTCTCTGCACAAGGGAAGGATCACACCTTCACAAGACTATCGGCCGTAACATTCTCATACCCCCCGAACCTCAGAGCCACGATCATGTTTATGTTTCCTCAGTGCATATGCATCTCATGTTTGTGTCTCTCTGGAGTTACGTGAGCCAAGCACTTTAATCCTGTGCTACATACGGAGTGTTGCACGTTGCCAACAGATTCTAAACACCACGAATACGTACACTGAGGAGACCTCCAATTAACTGGATGACTTTAATAATGGCATTATTAAACAGCAGGCCATTTTCTCCCCGGCAGGGTGTTATTTTCCATGCTGTAGATGGAGCAGCATGCTCCAAGGAGCAAAAGTGTTCGACAAGGAGCTGGAAGGCACAAGGGTGACGGCTGGAAAACAACGTCGGTGCAGGACAGCTGACAGTCTCCAGGGCTGGTCAGCAGACATGACATGACCACACGTGCCCTGCACGTGAACCAAACATGCCAGACTAATTCTCTCACATCAAGCTAGCAGAATCATTATTCCCTGGACCCGGAGGCCTGGCTCTTTCTTGGGCTGATCATTTACTGTATGGACCTTCCAGGGACCAAGAGCTCGAGAGGCAAATGAAAAATCAGCACCAGTCACTGGTTCTATTTAGCTCCATCTGGCGCACAGCAAAGGAGCTCTGGTGGGACAACAGTTAGAGCATTCAGCTGTGAACCAAAAAGGTCAACAGTTCAAGGCCACCAGCCGCTCCGTGGGAGGAAAAAGAGGCAGTCTGCTTCTGTAAAGGTTGACAGTCTCGACACTCTGAGGGGGCAGTTCTACTCTGTCCTATGGGGTCGCTATGAGTCAGAATCAACTCGATGGCAGAGGATTTGGTTTTGGTTTTGGTTGCACAGCAGCTTCTTGCCAGTTAGCTGATGCCTTTTCAATCTCACAAGCTTCAGAAGGCAGTTGTGCAAGTATCACCAGGCAGAAAATAGGATCGATGTTAAGGAAGACTAGGTAGGCACGTATCACTACCATGGGTCCCATGGAGGTAGGGCACAGGGATTTGATGTTTGAAAGAGACGGATTAAAACACTTCAGTACAGATGGGCCCGTCCAGAAAGAGGCCTGCTTAGAACGGAGAGGAATCATCACAAACGACACCCTGACTTGAGTGTGGTGTTAGGACTCTGGCCAAAGCAAACAAAAACTAGTGTGGCTCCCGATTACCGTAAAGGAAGGACAGAGAAAACAGAAACAGTCAGTCAAGTGAATACTGAAACACACACACACACACGAAGAGCAGAGAGGGACGAGTGCAAAACCATCTAGCATCTTCTGGTGAAGTTCCTGATGCATATATACCCTGCGGGCAGCCAACCACACAGGGCGTATACACAAACGACATCATGCTACAGACATACACAGATTGAAACATACCCTAAAGAAACTCTTGCACAGGTGCACCAGGAGTCCTGGACAAAAGTATTTATGGCCTTGTTCAAGCTAACCAACAAGAAACAACCCAAATGTTCACTGAGAGAATTACAATAGATTCATATAAAGGAATACTACACATCGGTGAAAATATCTTAACTGGAGGCATTCATATGATGCCGGTGATTCTAACAAAGTTACCGTTTGCATTAAACACCCACACACGCTAGAACCGGCATGGAGCACATACAGTACGACAGCATTTATGTAAAATTCAAAAATATTCAAAACTAAAAAATGCTGCTTAGGGATGCCCACAGGTAGTAAACTGTAACTGCAAAGAGAGGGAGAGAAATGGTAAACACACTTGAGAACAGTGTGTACCTTTGTGGGAGGCAAGAGGGGATGTGGTCAGGACTTGGACAGAACTGGTGATGCTCTAGTTTTTAACTGAGTCAAGTGGAGAGATGTATCATTTGTTATTCCTTACCTACGTAATATATATGTGTGTGCGTATATACATATATATATATAATTTTACCCATAACAATTCAAAATAAAAGGAAAATAAACAAGAGTTGTGGGTGAGCCAGACAATGTGCCCCAGCTGTGCCCTGCTGCCCAGGGCTAGCAGAGCAGGTAAGGAGACAGCCCAGGGCTCTGAGGCAACAGGATCAACTCAGTTTAGAGGTTGTCACCTCTAAAGAGGTGTTCGAAAGAACCCCTCCAGGCATTTCTCTGGGCTCACTGGGAAGAACCAGCTCCACAGTGTGTTTATTCAAGGGGGTCCATTGGAAGACACAGTGCTGTCCCCCAAAAGATGGAGAGAGATGGCCTCGTCAATACAGAAAACAGAAAATACCCCCACTTCGCCGTGTTCTGCCAGTGGCAAGGGAAGACCCCAGATGATTCCAAGAGACAGAGGAATGGGCTGAATTTAGGAGCAAGGCAGTCGTTTCATGGAGCCCTGCAGGGCTGGAAGAATTGGTGACCAGTTACAGAGAGGAAAGGGAAGGATGATATATACGCTTGATGACACGCGACAGTGGACCCAAACCCGAGAGCAGAGAGGCGGGTCACACGGGTGTGGCTGGAAGTACAAACGAGCATGTGTACTGAACTCTCACTGGAAGTCCCCGGGGCGACTCTCCGGGCTCCACCTGACAGAAGGTGGCACACAACGGCGCTTGGCACACGCTGAGGGCATTGGGAAACGCTAGTACCTAATGAGATCCCCGGCACGTCGCTGTAACATCCGTACGGCCCACGGGCGCCGGCGAGACAGGGCAGAGTCTGCCCCTTCCACGGAGAAACGGACAGGCTGGAAGGCCCCGGCGGGGAGTCCCGAAGGCCCGGCCTGGGAAGGGAGGCGGGGGTCCCGCCCAGGCGGAGATGGGGAGCCAGGGGAGGGCGGAGTCCCGCAGAGGATGCCTGGAGGCCTGCAGGAGCCCGCCAGGCGGATGGCGGCAGGGGGAGCCCCGGGGTCGTCGTCCCCCCCGTGGGGAGGGGGCCCTGCCACAGACCCGGCCGCGGCGCCCGTTCCCACCCGCCCGCCGCTCACCTGGGCACACAGCTGGCCGAACTCCGGTCCACCTCCCAGGTGGCGTACAGGTTCATCTGCACCGGGGCGGGGGTGCGGCCTGGCCCCGGGCCGCCGGGAGGCGCGGAGCCCGAAGCCACCGCGACGGCCATGGAGGTGGAGGTGGACGAGGACGACGAGGAGGCGGCCGCCGCCGAGGTGGACGAGGACGACGTGGTGGCCTGGGCCAGTTTGGGGGGCGTCGGCTGCTGCTGCGGCTGCTGCTGCGGCGTCGGCGGCTGCTGCGGGGACGGGGCGACCCCAGAGCCCCGCTGGCCGCTGCCGCCCCCAGAGCCTCCGGGACCACCGCCTGCCCCTCCGCGCTCCGCCATGGCCCAGCCGGGGTGAGAGGAGTGGGGGGGTGACGGGATCAGACGACGCCCAGCGAACTCCGAGAATCTCTCCCCGGCGACGGCTGGGGCTGCGACTCGTCTCCTCAGCCCGCCCGCCCGAGCGCGCGAGCGAGCAGCGGCGAGAGGCTGCACGCACGCGCGGGGCTTGGC